ACACACACACAGACACAGACACAGACACACACACACACACAGACACACAGACACACAGACACACAGACAGACACACACACACACACACACACACACACCTGTTGTGTTCTCTGGTCGGCGACCAGAATATCCATTGCAGATTTCAAGCGGTCTGATGGGCTCTGGAACGATTGTACGATGACGCAAACAAGAAGCAAGATTCAGGTTTGAGTGTGAGGGTGGTGTTGATGTATGTGCCAGTTCCACGCAACAAACACCATTCGCGCACAGCCACCATCAACTCAGAGATCATTTGTGCGCACGTGTGCGGTCGTGTACCTCGAGGCTGCTGCCGTCATCGTAGAGGATGACATGGTACTGTCGACGGAAGAACAGCCGCGGCACCTTCTCTTCAAGATCCAACAAACCTACGCACGCGAGTGTTAGTTGTCATCATCCGTCACTGTCCCTTGTTGTTGCGCACATTCTCAGTCATCAAGGAGGCCAAGTCATCCAACGCCCCTCACGCACACACAATTGTGATAGCATGCCATGGCAGAACGCACTTTGGTGTTTCACGCAGTCCCAGTTGACTGCAGATCGGACATGCAATCTGGCAAGCATCACGACACGAGGAGTCAGAAACAGCCTTCAGGGCGATGTTGCCAAACATACTCATGCACACGAACATTCATACCTACCACACACACACACACACACAATCACACAAACAATACACATGTAAGCATACATACACGAATGCATTTACCCACACACACTCACACACCCACACCCACACCCACACCCACACACACGTGTGTTTTCGTACTTGTCAAAGGATTGCGCGTCCCTACAATCGAGGACGAGTAGCTGGCTGCCGAATTGCAGCTTGTTGAAAAGTTGGACGCACGACAGCGAGTCAAAGTGGACGTCCACCAATTTATCCGGCTCCCTTGGTGGCGGCGTCTTTGGGCGGACAGGTGTAATGGCCTCAACCTACAAATGCGCGTGCAGAGTGTACTTGTGAAAGTGTGTCCAGAGCACGCGAATGTGGTTGTGCATGTGTGTGCGTGTGTGTGAGGGTGTGCACTTGTGCAGTGCACGCGTGTCGGTGTCATGAGTCGTCGCCTCCCGTCTTTCCTGCACCGGCACACTCACCATGGCCTGCTTCTCTGCAATGAGATCTTGAATCGCTTTCCCACCGGAAGCATTCACCACTGGTGTGGAGCTAGACGAAACAGGTGGCGGAGGCGGCGGCGGTGGCGGGCCTGGAGGTGGAGGAGGCGGCATCGTTGGGCGGTTGGACGTGGCGCTCGCAGAGACGATGGACTGTCGTGTACGTGGGATGGTGGGTTGCTGTTGTGGGTTGGTCGTTGCTCACAAACACAAACATACACAAAGAGTTGGGAAGAATCGATGGAGATATTGGACAAATTTCGGCGACGGTCGGAACGTGATGACTTCGTGTGCTGCCGCTGCGGTTGTGCTGTGCCCTGGGCATGGGGTGTACATTGGTGAGCGAGGCTGTGATCCAGCACTGGGTGTAAACTGGATCATCGCGCCGTTCCAAGTGAGTGTATGCAGTCATGTGGATGGAAGAGATTGGCCAAGGCGACACACAAAGGGCGGGCACACAGAGAGGGGGAGGATGCCACTTTGCCGGGTGCACTTGACTGCTGTGCGCCGGCTGACATGAATGTTTGTCACTCACTCTCCTCACTCATCCCCCCCCCCCTCACGCACCCTCCTCACTCCACCCCCTCACTCCGATTGCGCCTTGCATCAGGCCGGAGAAGGTGCAGCCTTTGTGCAGCATGTAAAGCGGGCAGTGGAGTTGGCACACGAAGACCCAACTGCAACGCTTGTGTTCTCTGGCGGTGCAACCAAAGCAGAGACCCCAACGAGCGAGGCGCAGTCATACCTCACTCTTGCCGAACATCTTGGTGTCTTGGACGCTGCGCTGAGAGAGCGCACGCTGCTGGAAGAATACGCACGCGATTCATTGGAGAATCTTGCCTACACAGCTGCACTCATCCAGGAACGAGCGGGGCCGACTCCGGTGCCGTCACCGAAAATGCAGGTGTGGCGCAAGGCTATAAACGACCAGTGATTCTTGCACTTCTGAATGGCGTGCTCGTTGTGCGTGTGTGCCTGATGACGTACGTGTGTGTGTCAGCTCACATCTATGTACATCCCACACACAACGTACACATGCACTCTCACTCACAACACACACACGCACGCACACACAACGCACACATGCACTCTCACTCACAACACACAACGCACACATGCACTCTCACTCACAACACACACACACACACACACACACACACACACACGCACACACACTCTCACACTCATGCGCATACGCTCACACTCATGCGCATACGCTCACACGCACACACTTGCAAGGTCGTTGGCTGGGAGTTCAAACGCGCTCGATTCATGCAGCATGCGGAGGCGTTGAATCTTGATATCACGTACAAAGGCCTTGGTGTCTGCTCCGACCTTGAAAGCGCGACAGCTGCTGAGAAGCGAACGCTGGCCTTGTTCTCAGAAGATCCTCTCGGTGTGTACGTGATGCGATAAGAGGGTTGCTCAGCCTGGTCTCAATGTAAAAGTCGTCGTCGTCGCCGTCGTTGTTATTGTCGTTTGTCGGTTGTGACAGGATTTTGCGGTGCGCGCAATCTCTGTGATTTGTGCGCGCCGTCCTCCTTTCACACACCAACACTGTCTTGTTCCATCGTTGTGTCAGGCAACGTGCACTTGCTCGATAAGCGACGGCAGCGCAACCCGCACCAGCGTCAGCGACCATATCGCGCCAAGATTGCACGTGATATCGTCTGGTGATCCTGCTGGTTCACATGACAACCCCTCTCACACACCCACACCCCCACACACACCCCCACACACACCCCCACCCCCACACACCACATACACACACACACACCCCCCCACATCCCCCCCACACACACTCTCTCTGTCTCTGTGTGTCTGTTTTCGTCGCTAGAAGATCAGATATAATGAATCGCAAGGTCACGTCAATGTCTATGTACAGGTTATCAAGTAACACCCAGCAGAAGAGTTGCATTGCATTGCCCGTGCGTGAGTGGGTGTTTCTGTGTGAGTGCGAGAAGTGTGTACGTGAGTGCGTGAGTATGGGTGTACATACACAAACGCAGTGCAGGCGACCGGGTCAGATCTTAAAGGCATCATGTACAATCCGCTTGCTGGCGACAACATCGTGCAGCCACTGCTCCCGGCACGGTTGTGTTGCACTGCCAATTTTATCGACAGCACATCAACATCAAGTGAGAGGCGTGAGCAAATATTGGCTGTACATGGACGACAGCACCGCGGCGAATGCAGTGGTTGAGCTATATTCGTCAACAAAGTAAAACCACGTTGACACACACACACACACACACACACAAACACAGATGCGTACTCGTGCTTCAGGCGCTGTTGCTCCAGCTGCCACTCCACGCTGATGCCGTGCTCCTGTCGGAGAAGCAAGCGCGCATGAGCGTTTCGTACAAGAGACAACAGCCGGCTCACAATGCCAGGATTTGCGCGCCCACGAACACAGCCGCATCGCACACACCAAAAAAAAAAAAAAACCGCTTGCCAAAAAGCAAGGACACACACACACACACACACACACACACACACACACACACACACACACACACACACACACACACACACACACACACACACACACACACACACATGGGAACCCTCGTACTGTTTTGTTGAGGTTGAACATGGTGTAGGCCGTGGCGTTTGGCACTGGACGGCGGCGCATGGGAATACTCCATGTGACACAAGCCTGCACGTAGCCGGCACCTTCTGCTTCCTTGGCAACGTGGTACTTCCACATGTCGCTGATGGCCCAGCCCTCCACAACCGTCTCGATGATGAGCTTGGCGCTGTCCCAGTTCAGCTCATCCGCAGTGAGCGCTGTCAATCGCTGCATGGCCGATTGCAGCGCGGTTTTCACCACGTTCGTGGACATGGACCTGATGTCTGCCGTGGTTGGTCGTGAGAACGATGAACCAGTCGTGCGGGCGGAGGATAGCCGGCTGTCGGGAACAGACGTGGTGGTGATGGTGGTGGTGGTGGTCTTGCCTCCCGCGTCCTCTTGCTCGGTCCCTGGCGACAGCTGCCCGGATTGAGGCCGCTCTTCCATCTTCTTCTTCACGCTCTGCAGGATCCGGGCGACCATTTCGGCGGCTGCCTCGTCCAGGCGCTCATCCACCAGCGACCCGCTGCTCGCCTCAGATTGGCTGTCGTCCGCCATCGTGAGTGGTGTTTTCTTGTTGCCAATGCGGAAAATTACTGATGATTGTTCAATAATCCTCTACAATCAACGCCGAAGGTGGAAAACGAACAACGAGTCGCTGCTGTTGCTCCCACCGTCACCTTCTTCATCCCTTCTTCTTCTTGACCCAACAGACCACACACTCAGCAGCAGCAGCAGCAGCAGCAGCAGCCATGCAGAAGAGGCCACGGACAGGCGGGAGCGGCGGTATGACGCGGCTGTCTGCCAACTCTTCCCGTGCACAATCTGCGACAGTCACTAGCAGCTCGCAACGAGCCCAAGGACAGCACAGACAAGGGTCCACATCACCATCGTCGCCAGGCTCGCCCCCATCAGCTACAGAACACGATCTGAACGACACCTCGGACCACGTTGCCCACGAGGAGCACATGCCCTCCCACAAGGCATCCGTACACCTCATCACAGAGGTGCGCACAATTCAAGCCTACTGTGCTCCGCACTGCTTTGTTTTCTGCTTCTCGCTGTGCCGTGCCTCAGCGTTGCCACGTTGCCGTGGGCATCGTCTCTCACATGTTTTGTTGCTTTCGTCTTGCGCTGATCGTCGCACAGTTTCTTGCTGCTGTGATGGGGAAGAACTTTGAGAAGGCGCAAGCGCTCTGCGATGAGAGTGAGTACAAACTACATTTCGCGGTGTCTTCCGTGATGCCGTTGCTCTCTTTGTGTGTACTTGTAAGCGTGGGTGCAACGTGTGTGTGCGTGCATGAGTGTGTGCGCTGTGTGTGCATGTGCGTGCGTGTTCTTGTGTTTTCTGATGTATTTGTTCACGCTGACACGGCTTTGATTTGACAGTCCTTGAAGTTGAGCCGGATAACAAGACAGCTCTTGAATTCCGTGGCGTGCTCCAGCAACAGATTCAGCTCGGTTCGTTGACATTCGTGTGCATGTGTGTGTATGCGTGTGTGCGTGTATGTGCGTGTATGTGCAAATGCGTGCATGCGTGTGCGTGTGCATATGCGTGTGCGTGTGCATATGCGGCAGTCGACGCATTTGCAGCCTTTCTGCATCCCATACACCTGATATGCAATACACCGCGGCTGTGCCCATTGTTTCCTTCAGATGCTCAACCCAGCGACAGCAGTGATGACGATGATGATGACGATGATGATGATGACGATGAGCAAGAGGAGTTTGATGTTGATGAAGACATTGAAGAGAACATTGTTGTATCGGCAAGCCACGAAGCGACGCCTACGAAAAAGCCCTCATATCCTCAGGTGAGGCTGTGCTCGAACATCGAGTTGCGTGAAAACTGTAACATAATCCCACACACCTTGTCATCGTCACTCTCACCATCTCCCACTGCTGTTTGCTGTGTTTTCGTTGTCGATTCTGGACTTTAATGGCCATGCGTGCAGGCAACAAGCCAATCCAACAATGACGGCGATGACAACAACAGCAGCAGCAATGGTGATGACGACGATGATGATGATGATGGTGATGATGATGACGATGGTGATGATGATGATGATGCTGGCCCGAGCGAGGCGATGCCAGCAGATGACTACGAGGCGTCGGGGATTCTTCTCCGCTGCGACGTCAAGACCCCGCGCGATCTCGCCATGGAGCTCAAGGGCATGTCGCTCTCAAAGTAGCGCGCGCCCATGTGCACCCGCGTCGCGCCGTGCAGCGAAAGCCAAGGCGATAGCGACAGCGTGTACGTGTGTGTGTGTCGGGAAAAAGGAGCGGAAGGGAATGTATGTAGTACTATGCAGTTGTCATAACGCGCGCGCTCTTGTTCTTGCGTGAATGGTTACATTAAGAGAAAGGAGAGGGGTTGTTTATGCCATACAGAACCAACAGCAACAGCACCAACAGCAACAGCAGCGATGTGCCAAAACGATGAGCGGGCTTGCTTAACGTATTCCAACGAGTGCGGGGAAAAGGAGAGGAAAGGAGAGGAGGGGGGAGGAGGAGGCTTTGGAAGCTTGCATCATGATGAGAAATGACGCGACGCGAGGGGCAAGGATGTTTAATGGGATGATTGGTTAGAAGGCTGGTGGTGTTGGTTAGCTGTCGGCAGGTACTGCTGCGTGGTGCTGGCAGTGGCGCTCCCACGCCGTCACCGTATTGCGCATCAGAAACGCAACCGTCAATGGACCGATGCCCTTGGGTACTGGTGTGTGTGTGTGTGTGCGTGTGTGTGTGCGTGTGTGCGTGCGTGTGTGTGTGTGTGTGTGTGTGTGTGTGTGTGTGCGTGCGTGTGTGTGTGTGTGTGTGTGTTCCTGTGTAAAATGAGAAACAAGCATCAAAGAATGACGAACTGTTGAGTCTGACATACTATGTCCCAAGCTCGCTTCTGTTGCACACCAAATTCAAAAATTCCACCTTCCAAACCACCTACACAAAAATGTTCATGATGACAAAGATGGTCAGCTAACCTGAACTCCAGTGCGCTGCACGAGTCCGCGAGACCAGCTGATCTGCCCTAAACCAGGTCGTGCTCCGTTGGGATGGGAACCTAACTCAAACTCTGTGCTCTAACGATGTCAGTCACAACTTACCAC